TTCGGGACTTTGTTCGTATCGGAATTTCATTCGAATGAATGAAACTCCGATCCTATTCATTGCCGCGGCTGCATCTTGCAGCCGCTTAGTAGATAACTCCCTAATTCCCACGGTATTAGAGAGCTCTCTACCAAAAGGCTGAAATACCTAAATTGGTCTTTCAGCCACATTTACTAATACTAAGTAAAGATTACTTAGTATTAGTAAATGCTGTCCCTACTTGCTATATCGCGAATAGGTACATGTATATTAAACAGTGAGCAGCCAGTGGATGCTCACTGTTAAAAAAACAAACAAAAACACATTAAACTGAAGGGGGGACCTAGAGCCCCCCCCGGCCCCCACCCCTAAGCAGCGGGTAGGGGCCCTAAATATGAATGTGGAGGGGGACCTATTGTCCTCCCCCCTGGCCACTACCCCTGAGCGGCGGGTGGGGGCCCTAAAGGATAATGGGGCACTAAAGGATAATGCGGGTGACCTATTGTCCTCACCCCTGGCCCCCACTCCTGAGTGGCGGGTGGGGCCCATCCCTGCGCAGCGATTGGGGGCCATAAATAGCAATAATGGGGGGTCTACTGTCCTCCCCCCCCCGGTCCCCATCCCTCCGCGGCGGGTGGGGGCCCTAAATAAGAATAAGGGGGGGATCTATTGTCCTCCCCCCAGCCACCACCCCTGAGCATTGGGTGGGGGCCCTAAATAAGAATGTGGGGGACACACCTACTGTCCTCCCCCCGGCCCCCACCCCTGAGCGGCGGGTGGGGGCCCTAAATGAAAATTCCCCCCCCATCAAGGTGACTAGGGGTTTCCAAGCCCCTAGTCACCCCACCCCAATCCAAATAAAAGGTTATACCCTACCTACCCACCATCACCCTAAAAATAGTGAGGGGGGAATAAAATAACTAACCTGTAAAGAAAAATAAAATTTACCATTTGACGTCTTTTTTCTAAAATCTTCATTTTTCAGCCCCAAAAAAGGCCAAATAAAAAACCATCATGCCCGTCGAACTTAAAATAAAAAACCCAACATTAATCCATCTTCACCCGGGGGTGGAACGGCACAGACTGAGCTCCGCAGGGTGGGGTAAGGCTTATAAAGCCTTGCCCCGCCCTGCAATTAGACTAAGAACACTCTGATTGGTTGGTTTAAGCCAATCAGAGTGCTCTTTGTCATTTTACACAGCGTGGGAAAATTCCAAAGAACTTTCCCACGCTGTGTAAAATGACACAGAGAACTCTGATTGGATGGCTTGAAATTCATCCAATCAGAGTGCTCTGTGTCATTTTACACAGCGTGGGGAAGTTCCAAAGAACTTTCCCATGCTGTGTAAAATGACCCAGAGCACTCTGATTGGTTAGATTCCAAGCCAACCAATTATAGTGTTATGTGTCAAATTACACAGCATGGGAAAATTCCAAAGAACTTTCCCACGCTGTGTAAAATGACACAGAGCACTCTGAATGGATGGATTTCATGCCATCCAATCAGAGTGTTATGAGTAATTTTACACAGCGTGGGAAAGTTCTTTGGAATTTTCCCATGCTGAGTAAAATGACAAAGAGCACTCTGATTGGCTTACCCCAACCAATCAGAGTGTTCTGAGCCTAATTGCAGGGCGAGGCTATATAGCCTATATAGTTGTAGCTATATAGCCAAGTTGTAATGTGTATGTCCCTTTTATATTAAAATATATTGTTTTATACCCTGTATATTTTAATTGATCAAGGGTCAATGGACCTTCTCCAAGCAGTGCATTACCGGATGTTCTTAATATTCTAAACACTTAGACAGGCCAACTGCTATGTATAGAATCATCAGGATACCTCATCTAACTTTGTTGGGAAAATTAACTAGCACCAAAAACAGAAATGTTCTTGAAAAGAGCGGTTGCAACTTTGTAAAGAAGAACAATAGACTGTAAGCTTGTTTGAGCAGGGTCCTATCGTCCCTGTAAGTTTTCTTGTAATTGTCCTATTTATAGTTAAATCTCCCCTCTTATAATATTGTAAAGCCCTATGGAATCTGGCGCTATATAAATGGCAATAATAATAATAATAAGCAGCACATATAATGTACACGGTATAATAAGTTTTTTTTTCCCTTTTTTACTTCAAGTAAAGACAAAAGGACTCCTTGATGTAGTGTTGTTTTTAGTTTCGTAATAATCTAAATAACTCTGTGTCCAAATAACTGTGGCAAATTAATTTTGGATGAAGACTAGCTCAATCTCATTTCAAATTCTTTTGTATCTGTATATGTGATTAGTATTTCAATTTATCTGTGGAAAGTGTATACTCCAGTACCAATATGACTGCCCTGCTGTCCATTTTCCACAGGGCCAACTGCAGTTCCTTATTTGTTTTCTCCTCCCACAAAGCAGTCTTTGCCTGCAACTTGTTCATGGGAATTGTGGAACCTGGTATCTGGTTAATACTTCATTCAAAATGTTATTGATGGCAGGTACCGGTTTGGTAATCTCTTTAACCACCTGTTTGACTGGCTCCCTAGTGTTGGTATTGTTGGGGTTATACTATGTTGGTGCTATAGTATGCTTTTTAATGCTTTCTTGTTGCATACAATGTACATCAAGCTAAAATGGAATATATAGTGTTAGGAATACAAATCTGTATTCCTAACACAGTAGTGTCCTCTGGGCACTCGTCACTGTAGCAGATAAAGGGTTTAAAAAAAAACAAAAACCTTTATTTACTCACCCGATTCCAGTGCCTATGTCACTTGGAGCTGGGTTGGCTGTCCGTCTCCTCTGATGTAATCTGTCCCTCCTCGTAGGAAAGCATAGCCTCATTGACATCCAATGGCGCTTAAGGGACTCAGGATCCAGTAAATTCCTGGAAGCTCCTCTAGTGGATGTCTGATAGACCCACTAGAGGCAGTCTTAGTTCTGCAAGGCGCTTACTGCAGTTTATTTTTAAACTGCAATGCTTTTACATTAGGTCTAATGTATGTACCATACCATAAAGAAATCTGACAAAAGAAATAGTGAGAAGAGGGAGATAATTAGAAATGCACCCAACCTTTTGACAAAATAACTTTATTATCAAAGGAGCATTCTCAGTTTATGGTATGTATTTTCATGTTGGTTAGGTTTCCTTTAATGTTTCATTGAGAACTTTACACCATGAATAGCATTGTTGTATCTTTGTTCTTGTTTACATGAATACATGTGATTTATGTATACATTGCTCTTTGAATGCATGGACTATTACTTTGATATCATTGTTACTGTTTTTGGTACCGTTCAGGGATATTTTGTACATTTGACCTAATTAATAAAATTTATTGATTTTAATGGTAGTGCTCCTCATTCTGGATAGTTTGTACGCTGTTTTGGTTCATTGGGACATAGGACCTTTGAGTGAGCACCCTATCTTTGTTTTTGCTGAGATATTTTGATGTAATTCATATAGTTTGCCTACCTTTCTAAATCAGATTGTATAACAATTCTATCATTCCCATGTTTTCCTATCAACACTAACCTATCCATACCAAGGTTGTACTTTGCCGTATTTCAAGCCCAGAACCTTTTAATGAATATGGTCACCAACAGGACTCACTACAAGTGGATTCATCCACTACTTTGTTGGCCAAACCTGTTGCAATCTGATTACGCTGTTTCCCTCTAATTTATCTCACATAACGAGTGCTTTCAGTCTATTGTGAACTATTCTCTCTGATGAAGAGAGTTTTCAAAGGTAGTAATGTAATAGTACGTTTGTGATGTTCTAGCATTTCTTCAAAGTTTTACTAACTAGCAATGCAAACTCCAGTATGCTAACAAGAAATTCCTTTTCTGGAATATGGGCCTGTCACATGTGCAATGTTGAATCAAAATGTGTGTCAGAAGTCAGATAATCATTGTAATAACTGTTCTGGCCTTGTTCTAGCTAACTTTATTTCATTTTCATATCTACTTTATTATGTAAATGGATTGATTTCTGATATTTAAGACCTTTCTCAATGCTTTCCTATGGACGCTCTGCGTGATGGATGCGTAATTCGCATCCAGCATCGCAGATGCGCCTCTAGCGCCTCTATGTAAACATAGCAGTTTCTCTGAGCAGTTTTACCTTTGAAGGGTTAAAACCTGAGGGACCTGGCACCCAGAACACTTCATTGAGCTGTAGTGGTCAGGGTGACTATAGTGTCCCTTTAATAAACAGATCAGATCATAAAGAGTTAAACTTTGTTTGCAATACTTGGTCTGGCTTCATTTTGGTCTCCACCTAGAACAAACCTATGGTGATTGGATTCACACCACACTTTAATACTTGAGGCATCATCTTCTACTAGCTCAGATCCAACTGGTCACTCACCTCTCTATTCAAACATCTCTGTTGCTCTTCCCCTTTTTTTCATTGTGGTGATTTTGATCTATCTGGCTGAGTTTTGCGGTGTCTTTTCCCTCTACAGACACAGAGAGAAGCTCATAGGGCACGTTTTTTTCCACTGATGCTACTGACTTTTTTTGTTTCCTTTTATGTGGATAAATCCCTTATTCTGAACTTGAAATGACTCTTACTCCCCATTTTACGTAGTACAAGATAAAAAAGGAAAATTATTACAATCTTTTATTCTAAAACTCTTTCACTTCTTATTTTTATTTCTTTATAGATATGGAATAATGTAATTTTGGCAACTCAGAATTGGCATTGTAGAATTGGCTAATATTGCATGGCCATTAGGAATGGCAACATTGCAGCCATTGTTTGCATGTCAGCCAGTTATAAGCACTCATGTTTAATGCTTTTATGGCTGTCCACATGGTTTTCAAAGAGCAACATGAACTAAACTCTCTTGACCTCAAAGATATTTTTATTTTCTGCCTAATTGCTTTGGAAGAACCAAAGATTTTCCCCTTTTCCCAAATCTAATGCCTGGGCATTACTGGCAATATTAATACTACAGGGTGCATGACATGTGCCTTTAAGTGATTAAAAAAAATAGATTTTATTTTGATTTTGTTACATAGATGTTAATTTGTTTAGGACCAATTTGCAATCCAGTCAAAGTCCCTGAAATCTTCCTGCTCTTTTTCTGTAAGTTCCTTTGTCCCGTTTGGAGGTGTTAAGATGGGATCTTCTGAGGTATACTCATCGAAATTCCTAACATCTTCAATTCCATCGATGGTTGGTATAAAGGGGGGCTTCAAATTCTTAGCTAATAATTCATCCCAGTCTATCTCCTGTTAACAAATTAAACGTTTTAGTGGAAGAAAGTAGTTTTGACAAAGATAACGAATATGCATCATTAAGTCATAAAATTAAGATGAAAAATATAGACTGGCAAAAATCTGAAAAACTAAATTCTACACAAGTTACAGTATAATTCACAAATCCATAATTAAAGTCAACGGATAGGATTACACGTGCATTCATTAGTGGAAGAAAGTAGTTTTGGCAAAGATAAATCCTTTGTATCACTGTGCTCCTACACATGCAAATACAGGGGACATTTTACATTGGCCATTTAATGCCTTCACGGGCATGAATTTAATGCAAATATACATAAGTACATAAATTTAAATAAGCATCCAAATGAACTAATGTTTATTTAGGTGTTAGAATGTAGGTTTCCCCAGATGTGACATGTGACAATTTCACTTGGAACTAAAAACAAGATTGAGGTAGAATATACCATTCCCCTCTATATACCTATGGCTGGTAGATGAACAAAATGGACTTACTTGAAAGAATGGATTCCACTTTACATCTTCTGCGTCATATTCACTTGCCCCTAGACGGTCCTCTGGATTTATGTTGAGAAACTGTAAAAAACATATTTTTTTTTCTTAAAATGGCTCTTGGTATTTTGATTAAAATAAATAAATAAATTAAAACAAAATTGCAAGCACTTTATCCAGATAATGTACTGTCCTGATTACTATGATTCCTCTTGCTACTGTTTTTTTAATCAAAATGAGTCTCCAAACATAACATTATTCTGTATCTTTTTGTAGCTAGATCTGTATGTGTGTGTAACTGCCTGTCCCACACTCTTATAGTCAACCACACTGTGCTCTCTAAAATCCAAGTTAAAAACACTAAACATGCATTGGCAACATACATCTTCGATTACATCAATGGTTTCTACAGACAGGACAGACATGAACTCCGGACAGCTGAATCTGCGATTGATGATGTTATTTATCTTTTCAAATTCATCTTCGCCGTCAAAAGGAGTCTAAAGTAAATAAAATAAAAATAAATAAATCTGATGAATTATCTTGTTGATAAACACACATTGGTATATAGTGTTTTGCTTGTCGAGTCAGGATTCCGTCCATTAATTCTTAATAAACTATTCTTACCACTCCTGCCAGCATTGTATATATTAGCACTCCCAGACTCCACCAATCCACAGCTTTGGTGTAACTTTCGTGCTTGAGGATTTCGGGAGCCATGTAATCTAGTGTTCCACAATGACTTGTGGTTCGTTCTCCATATCCGATTCCTCAGAGAGAGACAAAAGTTAATTATATTTAAATTGAAGATGTACATTCCCTGCCTTTAAAGTAACACTATAGGGTATTCCTGATCCAATAGTGTTAAAACCACCATTTAAGTGGTTTAACCCTCCCCTCCCCCACCCATAGCCTTTAGAAAGGGTTAAAACCTCTATCCAGCACCGCAAGGGTCTGCCAGAGCTGACCCCACCCCAATCCACCTCTGGCTAACATCAGAATTGATTATCTCAGCCAAGGAGGTGGGCTAGGGGCGGGGTCAAAAGTCGACCTGGCCAATCCCCATCTCCTCATAGAGATGCAGTGAATCAAAGCATCTCTATTAAGAACATGGAGATGCTGAACGACACTGCTGCACTCTGAGGAGTGGCCACTGGAGGTGTCCCTGGGCTTAAATGTAAACACCGCCTTTTCTCTGAAAAGTCAGTGTTTGCATGAAAATACCCGCAGGGCCTGTCTATAGGGACCGAACAACTACAATGAGCTGTAGTTGTTTTGGTGATTATAGTGTCCCTTTAAGTTACATGCCCGTACATCTGTCAGTTAGGCATTTGTGCATTAGAGCTGCTGAATATTTTTGTATAGTTTTTTTCTTGTTACATTTTTTTAAAAGTAATTTCCTGAGATCTAATCCACATATTGGTTTGTTCAATGATCCCTTGTTACAAAGTATATTATCATTTGTGCTTTTGATATCTTTTTGTTTATGTACTTTTAATTATGTACAGAATTAGATTATGTTTGAATGTGGCTAAGTTTAAATGTGGGATTTATTCACAATTGTAATTTATTTTTTGATTACCTCTGTATATGCCTGGCTATCCTGGCACAGCTAGGGCACACTATGTAAATTAACTTGCAATATGACCACTACAGTGCAGGTCCTTTCATGTGGTCTAAAGTCTGTTGGCGCCATATCCCAGTTTTATGTCAAACCATTCAGAATTAGTTTGAAACCAATTTTTGCTCTCCATATCCTCATCTGCCACATTGGTAATGTGGAGTTAACAGTTCTGTATAATCATTGTCTACATCTATTTCCCTTAGAGCCTTTTGGCTATTTTTTCTACTTTAATATTGCATGTTTGTTTTTGTACTAAAATCATGTTTTGTGTTAAAATAGGACTAGATAAAAGTACCAAAAAAAGCAATTTTTACATTTTCAAAGTCTTAATGGCTGTTTAGGAAACAAGCACATATTTGTTTTTATGCTGAATTTTAAGGATATCATTTTATATGTGTAAAGCCAGCACTGATGTTACAGAGGCATTAATTTATCGAATATCTATGTATAAATGTAAAATTATATCTACCTTCCTTACTAATACCGAAGTCAGTTATTTTTGCAAATCCTTCCTTATCCACAAGTATATTCTCTAATTTAAGATCCCTAGATTAAAATGCAGAAAAAATGTTTTTAATCATTTTTACATAATTCTAGAGGACACTTGGATGCAGGTATTAATGGGATTCCTTGTTTAGGCTTTTAAAAAGGTTACATTTAAAACCATAACATAGAAAAACAAATAGGTTTAAGCACAGGCAGTGCTGTAAATATAACAAATATAACTGTGCAATCCACTTTTTTTTTTTGCGCTTTACACTTACCTGTGGATAATCTTTTGGGAATGCAAATATTCCAAGCCAAGCACAACACAAGCAGCATAAAATCTATGGGAAAAAAAAAAGAAACGCGTTGGTTACTTTTAAGATGATAAAAAATGCAATCTTTGTACTATTGAAAAGTTATTTTCCACAAATCCTTCATCACTCTATGGTCTAACATGGCGACTTTTAATGTAAGACTCTCAGCCAGTCCATATTGACTAAAGTTGGTTATGCTATTGCAGAAGTATAAAATTCTTCTGTTGTATAGAATGGAAAGACCGTGGGACCTGGACAGTCAGGTAAGTGTAAAATAACGATTATCTTTCCCAATAATCTAACTAGACTTTATGGAATTTATTGCCTACCTCAATGCCAGCAGCTGCTAAACACTGCATTACAGGTTTAGCAATATGGGCACAATGCTGCTGCCTATACTTACATCGCTCTGGGCTCTGTTAATGCACCGTTGCTGTTGTAAACGTTTGTAACAAGGTCCCCGCCAGGAGTGTATTCCATGACAAAGCAGGCATGATGTGTGGTCTGGAAACAACCAAACAGGTTTACCAGAAATGGATGGCGCATGCTGCTTACAGATTGGAATATGTGCTTCTCACTCATAAGACTGGATAAGGAACAATAAGTGAATTATTTCCCTGATCTCCAAAAACTCATAACAAATAAAATAAAACAGGATAAGGTATGAATAGCTCTGTTTACTGACCGGTGGACCTTTTTTGTTGAAACAATGTCTCCTTTTTTCAGGGCTTTTAGGGCATAGATTTTCTCAGTGTCCTTGTGTTCAGCAAGGAACACCTAAAATTCAAAACAAAGGTATGCATGTGTTCTTGTTTTGCATCAATTCATTCAAGTTTGGTACAGCAGAATTGTATTTTTTTTTTCTGCCCTGTCATTTTTATTTTGCTTCTTTACTTTGAAGACTTTTTTTGTGGTTAGATCACAATTTTGGGGGTAGTCTGTATATAAAAAATACATTTAGCAAATCTGCACCTATCTTTCCGACAAACGTTTCCAATTACATCATTGTGGTGGATTTTCTGTCTGACAAAAATATAGTATCCAACTGACAAATTATGCGATTAAAAATAAAATAAAAAAACAGACCTCTTTAGAAAAATGCTCTGGCTGTACTGATTGTATGTTTGACTCCTGATCATTATAAGTCGACATTGTTTACGAGCGGCAAATGAAGAATTAAAAACAAAAACAATGGGTGTGATAGTGGACAAAGATTGAGCGTGTTTACGTTTTTCACAATATCTCACAAATCATTTGCCAGGGATTATCAGGACTTCAGTAATCAAAATTTTCTTTAATGACTAGGTTTGCGTGAATGTGCAGGGAAAAGAACAAAACAAAAAAAAGCGTATAGCTTTACCTGAGCCGATATATCTGTTCTCTCAGTGTGTCCTGAAGACTGATGTTGATCACCATGTGCAGGTGTTGGAGATGGAATAAGAAGTGTCTCCAATGTTACATCAGTGACATCAGTTTCTGGAACTGATGCAGTTGTTTCACCCTAGAAAAAAAAGACATACACCATAAATTAAATTCCCCCCACCCCCTCTCCCCCAATGACCATTGTGGCCTTTGGTCCATGGGATTGTAATGGTGGGTCTGAAACATTGATTAATAAATAAATGAAGTCGGGAATAGCAGACAAACGAAGAGGAAGCAGGGTATGTTGGAAAATAACTGGAGAAGCAATGTGTGTGGGAGAATTATGAAGAAGAAACGGAGGATGGAGTGATAAAGTGGTGGTGATTTTAGAGGCAAAGACTATAGTCATTAAAACTCCTGTATCTGATGCTTCAGGACAAATGGAAGAATTAAACCACCTAAAAAATAAAATGTACATTTCACATATTGGGCTCTGGCTGTACTGATTGTATGTTTGACTCCTGATCATTATAAGTCGACATTGTTTACGAGCGGCAAATGAAGAATTAAAAACAAAAACAATGGTTGTGATAGTGGACAAAGATTGAGTGTGTTTACGTTTTTCACAATATCTCACAAATCATTTGCCAGGGATTATCAGGACTTCAGTAATCAAAATTTTCTTTAATGACTAGGTTTGCGTGAATGTGTGGGGAAAAGAACAAAACAAAAAAAAGCATATAGCTTTACCTGTGCCGGTATATCTGTTCTCTCAGTGTGTCCTGAAGACTGATGTTGATCACCATGTGCAGGTGTTGGAGATGGAATAAGAAGTGTCTCCAATGTTACATCAGTGACATCAGTTTCTGGAACTGATGCAGTTGTTTCACCCTAGAAAAAAAAGACATACACCATAAATTAAATTCCCCCCACCCCACTCCCCCAATGACAATTGTGGCCTTTGGTCCATGGGATTGTAATGGTGGGTCTGAAACATTGATTCATAAATAAATGAAGTCGGGAATAGCAGACAAACGAAGAAGAAGCAGGGGATGTTGGAAAATAACTGGAGAAGCAATAGGTGTGGGAGAATTATGAAGACGAAATGGTGGATGGCGTGATAAAGTGGTGGTGATTTTAGAGGTAACGACTATAGTCATTAAAACTCCTGTATCTGATGTTTCAGGACAAATTGAAGAATTAAACTACCTACAAAATAAAATGTACATTTTACATATTAGGCTCTGGCTGTACTGATTATACGTTTGACTCCAGATCATTATAGGTCGACATTGCTTACAACCAGCAAATGAAGAATAACAAACAAAAACCATGGGTGTGATAGTGGACGAGGTTTGCGTAAATGTGTGGGGAAAAGAAAAAAACAAAAAAAGAAGCGTATAGCTTTACCTGAGCCAGTATATACGTTCTCTCAGTGTGTCCTGAAGACTGATGTTGATCACCATGTGAAGGTGTTGGAGATGGAATAGGAGGTGTCTCCAATGTTACATCAGTGACATCAGTTTCTGGAACTGGTGCAGTTGATTCATTCTAGAACAAAAAGACATACACCATAAATTAAACGCCCCGCCCACCCGCATGAAAATTGTGGCCTTTGGTCCATGGGATGTAATGATAGGTATGAAACATATTGATTAATAAATAAATTAAGTTGGGAATAGCAGACAAACGAAGAGGAAGCAGGGTATGTTGGAAAATAACTGGAGATACAACGGGTGTGGGAGAATTATGAAGAAGAAACACTGGATGGAGTGATAAAGTGGTAGTGATTTTAGAGGCAGCGCCTAAAGTTATTAAAACTCCTGTATCTGATGCTTCAGAACAAATTGAAGAATTAACTTACCTACAAAAATAAAATGTACATTTTACATATTGGGCTCTGGCTGTACTGATTGTACGTTTGACTCCAGATTACTATAAGTCGACAATGTTTACAAACGGCAAATGAAGAATTAAAAACAAAAACAATGGGTGTGATAGTGGACGAAGAAGCGAGTGTGTTTACGTTTTTCACAATATCGCACAAATCATTTGCCAGGAATTATCAGGACTTCAGTTATCTAAATTTTCTTTAATGACGAGGTTTGCGTGAATGTGTGGGGAAAAGAACAAAACAAAAAAAGAAGCGTATAGCTTTACCTGAGCCAGTATATCCGTTCTCTCAGTGTGTCCTGAAGACTGATGTTTATCACCATGTGAAGGTGTTGGAAGCATCTCCAATGTTATATCAGTGACATCAGTTTCTGGAACTGGTGTAGTTGTTTCAACCTAGAAAAAAAAATACATACACCATAAATTAAATTCAGTAATCCCCCCTCCCCACAATGACAATTGTGGCCTTTGGTCCATGGGATTGTAATGATGGGTCTGAAACATATTGATTAATAAATACATGAAGTCAGGAATAGCAGAAAAACGAAGAGGAAGCAGGGTATGTTGGTAAATAACTGGAGAAGCAATGGATGTGGGAGAGTTATGAAGAAGAAACAGTGGATGGAGTGATAAAGTGGTGGTGATTTTAGAGGCAGCGCCTATAGTTATTAAAACTCCTGCTTCAGGACAAATTGAAGAATTAAACTACCTACAAAATAAAATGTACATTTTACATATTGGGCTCTGGCTGTACTCATTATACGTTTGACTCCAGATCATTATAAGTAGTCATTGTTTACGAGCGGCAAATGAAGAATTACAAACAAAAACCATGGGTGTGATGGTGGACGAGGTTTGTGTGAATGTGTGGGGAAAAGAAAAAAAAAAAGCATATAGCTTTACCTGAGCCGATATATCCGTTCTCTCAGTGTGTCCTGAAGACTGATGTTGATCACCATGTGAAGGTGTTGGAGATGGAATAGGAGGTGTCTCCAATGTTACATCAGTGACATCAGTTTCTGGAACTGGTGCAGTTGTTTCATCTTTATTAATAAAGTTTTCTTGGTCAATCAGTGCCTGCAAACGTTCTATCTCATTCTCGATGTCTTCAAGCTTCTCCTGCAATGCCTCAAGATATTTAAGGTTTTCTGGAGGGCCTTTGGAATATGCCAGGAACATATTCTCTGCACCTCGCTTCACCTTAAGCTCAATTTCGAGCTGTTTTTGCAGTGCAGTTAAATTCCTATTGTCTGCCTGGGCACTTGGGTCACCTTCAAGAGCAACTGAGGTCTTGGAACATACTGGAAAATTAGTAATAAGACAAAACCTAATTAGAAATGCTGGCAGCTGGTACTATTCTGTCCAAGTTAAAATAAAAATGTAGGTATGCCACTTTTGTTGACACAAAATGCAGCAATCTAGGATCAAAAGTAATTTTTGGTACACAAACCCTATAGTCACTGGTGTAGCGTGGGCTGGGCCACAGGGCTGCTTACCCTGGGCGCAAAATTCTTTGGGGCCCAAAATTTCAAAAGAAAAAAAAGAAAGGAGTAGTAATATATTTTTTAAAATAGCGCGCCCTCCCAATCACCCAGAAAATCTCCCAATGTTCAAACATTATACAGTTTTTCAGCATGACAGGGAAAATAAACATCACTTCATCACATTTTACAGTAGTTTGCTTGCTAATCACAGCCATACTGTCCTTCTGTAATTCTTATCGGTGAATTACATAATGCTTATTAATAACGTGATTTCCTGTTTAAAGATAACACCAGAAATCACTCTTTAATAGGCATTTTGTAAATGCCCATACATGTTATCATAAAAGTATGCCAGTAACGGGCGCCTAGATAGCCTCACTCCTCTTCCCTGCCCGCCTCATCTCCATGATGTGTGTGTGGCACTGATAGATGTGTTGCGTCATTTTTAAAATCCACCTCACGCCTAAAGTAATATGTATAGACTAGGGTTAGAGGGTGCAATAAATGCCTTGCCACAGGTGCTGACAATCCATGCTATGCCACTGCCTATACTACCCGTTATCCTACACCAACCCTGTTAACTCTACATTCATTCTAACAGTACACTACCCTAGCCTTAACCCTATACTATCCCTAACCCACCCTTTAACCTCACCCTACACTAACACTGAGAAAGCCAGGTAGATTTTGTCCTGCATCCATTAGCTATCAAAAGTGGCAGGAGTGCGGCTAGTACCTGTATGGGTGTTAACCTGCCTTACCCCTTCCCAATGAGCGCTATTAATTATGTAAGAGAGTAACAGAGTTATATCACGAGGTATGCCACTCATTCATTTTAGAGGAACTGTTACATTTCCCAAATAGAGGAGAAGAGATAGTAGACATGTAGCAAAGGCAGTGTTGCAGAGAATGTAACACCAAACTGGAACCGAACATGTCGGCTCTTATCAGACTGCAGGAGGGTAACACGGCACGTTAAAAACTGGTTCAGTCACAATGGAGGTAGATATAAACATTTTATAATGTACCTGAACGTTCCTCTGCTTTTTGCTCAACATCATCAGATTTTTTGCGTCTTGTGCGCTGAAAAGACAGAAACAAAATCAGAAAACCAAAACCACTTTGCAAGAACGTTGCAAGCATTTTGATGAAACAATCTCAACATATATAGAGTCCATTCCCTCGCTGCCACATGGGTCTGTGATACAGTTTAAATTATTATAAGTGACCTCAAATACAGACATTAGTTTACTTAAAGCAAGATACCACTAAGATACCGTAATAATTATGGCACCCCTCCAAACCATATTCTTAATGGTATTACTTATTCTCTGGGGTTCTCAATTCACTGTCCCACAACTCCTCTCACCTTTAGGCTCCTTGTCAATATATATCCCAAAACTACAGTGCACATGTACCATATACTATTATTATAATTATTAAATTCTAATCGCATATACAATTAGCCGTAGAGACCTAGAAAAGATAGCTCCCACCAAAATGTATTTAAAGAGTTTCTTCATACACCAGACCACTTCAGTGGTATGAAGTGGTCATGGTGTTTGAAGTCTGTATGCACAGCATTTCGGTATAAATACAGAACTATGTTATAATTCTGCTGTGTACGTTATTAGTACGTCATTAGCCAGTACCTTTAAGTGAAATGGTGGGCTTATGGCTACAAATGTATTTAACTATGAAGAACAAAGTAAAATGGGGAGTCCATAGGCTGCCATGGGAATTTAAACATAATATAATAAGTTAAGGGGTTCATAGAACTAGTGTTGTTTGGGTTAACATTTTAGAGCTCCCAGTTAATGGTAAGTAGAAGAAACAAAGAAATCCACTTACTTTTCTAAAGCACAAGCATCGAAAACAAGAGAAAATATTTCTCGCCGACATTTTTAGTTACTTGATCACTACAAAAGCTAAGCAGTGTCAACTGTCCAAGCAATGTCTAGTGAATACTGTAAACTGTGGCCATCAGGGATGATGCTGCAATGATGTCACTATGATGTTACACAGGTCACAGGTCCACATCTCACCAGCATGTCATAATACACAATCTATCAAATCTGAATATTGAAGTTTCTATGTTTAAATATGGATATACTATATTATTATATAACATTCAGAGGTCCATTCATTAATCTGTGAATTGTAATACATTGAAAAAACAAGTTGGAAGATCTAGACTAAAATCTAGGGGACACATTGGTAACCTTTGGTCCCTTTCTAGATCCAATAAAATAGTTTAGCTTTGTAGTGACAATAAAACAAGAGTCTAATGCACACTATAAAAAGGAGTACCAGAAAGGGAGAGAACAAAGGAATAATATCCTTTTATTAGGAACAAATATAGTGGAGACAACGATTTTGTTTTACACACTAGTGTTTTGGGGTGTTGACTCTCACCAGTTTTTACAGATTAGAAATGTATCATTAAAAGTTAAGTTTTAATATCCACGCATTAAGGTTGCACGTTAAGTTCTTTACTGTACCCTTACTGTTTCCTGCGTCTAGTAGGGTATTCCACTCCACAGGATACTCTACCAATATCCTTTCTCTCCTGTTCCCCTCACTTTGGTGCGCTAAATAAACTGGTAACTGGGGGCACACACCGCTTTTTTAAACCAAATATTAAAGTAAAGCGATTTTCATTAAAAAGCAATTAATAAACATTATCAAAACTGCATGAATGTTAAAATGTATTTAAAAAACAAACAAACCTAAAATAATTTATAAGGACTGAAAATCCTAAATACAGTAGATAACACATATCATAATCTAAAGATTTTTATTTTTAATATATAGTAAAACCTAAACGCTTTTATAAAAAGTGTTGTTGGGTGAAACTTTTAAAATCAAGCATTTTGTCATCCGTGAGATTAAGACTGTAATCTATCTGATACAATGTAAATTCGGTATCCGATACACAGGTAGAACTACTAGGAAATTACATGTTAGCTAACAGAGCATTTCAGCTTTATAAATAGAAGCATAGTGTACCTAAACATCAAAATGAATGTAAAGAGTTCTGTTTCAACCTTTTTGTTCAGGAATAGGCTTAGTAGTCCCACATTGGAAAGGGGGGGATACTGAAAACATCCTCACTAAAAAAAGAAACGGAATGGATCCACAGATTGAAACGTTAGTACCTTTTTTCTTGTGGTAAATATTATTTGGTTGAAACATAAGACTTTGTTGAACCTGTCAATAAAACAGCAAGGAACTTCCATATCCTAAATACACGTATTTGATAAAGGCCTCTGTGTAGGCCTTTTTGTTCCAATAGACCTGCCTTTCTGCAGCAATCCTGAGTGACTGGACCTACCGTATATACTCGAGTATAAGTCGAGTTTTTCAGCACATTTTTTGTGCTGAAAAACCCCCACTCGACTTATACTCGAGTTAATGTCTGTATTATGGCAATTTACATTGCCATAATACAGACAAGGACCGCCGGGCTCATTACAAGCCCGGCGGTCCTGTTGGGGACTGACAGTGAGAGGTTACTTACCTTCCTGCAGCTACTGTCAGCTCCCTTCTCCTCCGTGCAGCTCTTCTGACAGCTCCCACTGGAAGTCTCGCGAGAGCCGCGGGGTCACCGCGGCTCTCGCGAGACTTCCAGTGGGAGCTGTCAGAAGAGCTGCACGGAGGAGAAGGGAGCTGCAGGAAGGTAAGTAACCTCTCACCGTCAGCCCCCCCCTCCTGCACAGCCCATCCACTGGACCACCAGGGAGTGAGAGCCCCCCTCCCTGGCCAGCTAACAAGCAGGGAGGGGTGACAAAAATTAAATTAAAAATACAAAAAAAAAATACAATAAAAACTATTAAAATAAAAAAAATTAAAATATTAAAATAAAAAAAACTTAAATATTCAAATAAAATAAAAGAAAAAAATTAATAATAAAAAATAAAAACCTTAAATATTCAAATAAAATAAAAGAAAAAACTTAATATTAAAAAATAAAAACCTTAAATATTCAAATAAAATAAAAGAAAAAACTTAAATATTCAAATAAAATAAAAGAAAAAAACTTACAATATTAAAATAAAAAATTTATAATAAAAATGCCCTCCTTCCACCCAGTTCACACACACACAAACACACACTCATACAAACACACACTCTGCATTATATACACACACACTCATAAACAATCTGCATTCTACACACACACTCATACAAACACACACACACTCTGCATTATATACACACAGAGTGTGTCCGTATATAATGCAGAGTATGTGTGTTTGTATGAGTGTGTGTGTAGAATGCAGATTGTTTATGAGTGTGTGTGTTTGTATGAGTGTGTGTGTATATAATGCAGAGTGTGTTTGTATGAGTGTGTGTGTATATAATTCTAAAATCACAGAATTTCATAGTCCCAAGTTTTACCCTCGACTTATCCACGAGGCATAGCATATTTCACAATTGTTGGTCACAAAACTGCCCTCGACTTATACATGAGAATATACGGTAATTTATTTTACCTCCTAAACTGGGTTTTGCCAACCCTGGCCCTGATAAGCACCTGAATTCCCAAGTGTGAGTGCGGTATCCTCCGTCTGTGAATTACTAAATATACATATGCCAAATAGAGAACACACAAGTCTTAACATAGACATGATTGTAATTTCACTGAGTGATAGTTATTTTTGTCATTTTCTTTTTTTTTTTTTTAGATTTCAGATTTTAGCAGGTCCTAACTGTTCAGTCAATAGGATTTTTTTTTTCTGTTTTTTTATTGAGATATTGTATTAGGCAATACAGAATAAAGAGAGAAGTATCATGCAAATATACAGACATAAATAATACAGAAGATGTATATACTCCTGAGCAAACAGTGTCATATCGTTTGTTTGTTTTGTGAAATAAACAAAGGAAAAAACATGCTGAACATACTAGAGTAAAGTAAAAGCAGGCTAGTTCCAGTAGCTAAAACATGTAAATACCACAAGATTGATAGGTAAGGTTATAGCAGTCAGGTCACAGTACTAGGAGTTAGGTCACAGTGTTAACTACACTATGAGATATCAGCCAAACTGCCATGAATGCCCCTATGCCCTTCAGCTAATACCTGAAGATGTAGAGTCACAGCCCCCCCCTCTTTATAGTGTTCTCAGAGAAGCCCCCACAAGGAACCCCATCCGCCAGATGGTCCGCTTCGATCAGCTCCAAAAAAGTTATCATATCTGATAAAATTAAGTTTGTGGAAAAATATTAACACAGACTTTCTATGATTTGGGTTTCAGCATTTACAATAAAGCACATACACAGATGCTGTCAACTGCCTTTGTTGCAGGCTTACAGGAACCCATCAGAAAGGGCCTAACCCTATCACGCCCAGAATACAGGATTATTCCCTTGGATACTCTTCTCTTGGTTGCAAAAGGTCTAGAGTCAGCATTGTTACCTCAGGCCAAGAAGGGGACTCCCCTGATGTTTTCCCTTTATAATCCTGTCATCAGACCTGCCCCAGCATCTCCTGGGTTTCCAGTGCCTATGCCACAGAGACACCCTGTGTCTCAGGCTCCAAGATCTCAAACCAGAGCCTGTTATAATTGTGGCCAAGCTGACCATTTACGAAAGGATTGCCCTCACCCCAGGGTGTATAGGCCTCAACAACAGGCCATAAAACCTCCTAATCCCGGGGCAGCCTATCGTATGTATTCCCACCCCTCTGCAGTGACCCAAGCCCAGCCTCAAGCTGCCTACCCTCCACAGGGTTTCCCTTTGACTGTTTATTCACCTTCATCCGTTGACAGTCAACCTGCTCCTCATGGGTTTGTTCATTATCCCTCTGATGGCTATGATACAGACGATTATCAGCAACCTAATCGTCCTCAACCCAACATTAACCGTCCTGTGCGTCTGGCACAACAGCAAGGTTACTCCACGTCTGCAGCTCCCTCCCGCCACTACACTGGCCCTGACCAGGCCCACCTTGACCTTTTACAATAGGTAACTGGCAAACCTGTGTCCAACACCCCTGTCATGGCAGTGTCTACAGGGGACAAATGGTGGCCCCCAGCTATCGTGGTCCTACCCATTGAGGGCCATCCAACTACTTTCCTAGTTTACACAGGCGCAGCCCACCGTGTTCTCAGAGAACAAGACCTGCCTGGCTCCTCTTTCCTCTCTAACATTGAAGTTACATGTGTTGGTGTTAATGGTACCCCTCGTAACAACCAACTGACCAAGCTCCTAAGGGTGGGCTCTGACATCCTCACACGTTTTGTTGTTTCCTCCACCTGCCCCATTAACCTGTTAGGTGCCGATGATCTATCCCGTCTACAAGCTTCTATCTCCTTCACTGCTGATGGCCAGGTTCAGTTACTAATACCTCTCTCACTTAAGGATACTTCAGCCCTCTGTTCCTTTACCTCTCTTACTCCACTTAGAGGCACCACGTACCGGAGATGCAAGGGTTGCAAAGTTCCCCAGTGCCCTGGATAGGGTCCCAGACAAGCTTTGGTCCACAGGCCCAGATGATATTGGGCGCCTACAGGTACCTCCGGTGGTTGTTCAGCTGTTAGAAGGAGCAAACCCACCACGGAGGCCGCAATACCCTTTGAAGCTTGCCCAGGCCCTTGCCATTTCCAAGCAAGTTGAAAGCCTACTAGCAAAAGGTGCTTTAGTAAAGTGTGTATCAAAATGTAACACCCCTCTGTTTCCAGTGAAGAAGAAAACTGAAAAGAAAGAACCAGACCAATATCGTATGGTTCAAGACCTCCGTGCCGTCAATGATGTTACAGTCAGAGATACAGCCATCGTACCTAATCCACATACGCTCCTATTACAGGTAGCTCCTACAGCAAGATTCTTCACTGTGGTTGACTTCACTATGGTTGCCTTTTTCAGTGTGCCTCTGGACCCCTCATGCCAATATCTGTTTG